ACTGCTCACTGTCGGTAAACAAGAAGCCACTTTATACACGACTACAATTCAAGGGGGATGTAACAAGTGAGATAGTTACGAAGAAATTAAGAAAATCAGTCCAGAGAACGTTTAATGCTGGTGAACTACACGTATTATTCTCTACACGACCGATGGTTCTACCTCGACTGAAAGATGAAGTACCTAGACTAGCCACTTCAAATGGTATTTACTAATTCGATCGCGCTTGTGGGGCGAGTTACATTGGCCGTTGCTCTAGGAACTTGATTTTTCGTGCTCTCTCGAGAACATCTCCTTGCATGGCTAAGTAAAGTGTAGTTAAAACCATTAACAGTTCGGTACTAGACCATCTAGTGCAAACCAGCCACAAAGCCAGCGTGGAAGAATCCTTCTCTATGATCTACCGGGTGCCTAAAAAATTGCCAAAATCATCGAAGCACCGCATACTTCAAACAGCAGAGGCTATCGCAATTCACCTCAAACAACCAGTGCTCTGTGTTCAAAAGAAGCAAGTCCAGCCCCTATTACTGCCCTGGCCTTCAGTAGAAACTATAATAATATATAACTATAATAATATTATCTTTTCTAATTTTTCTGACATTCAGCTTATTTTATGTTGATGCTTTTGAGCTGTAATCTATCAATATTATTGATTCGATATTATTTAAACAACATTATTGTTGTCCATAACACTAATTCATTCATTCACTATAATGTATATATAACTGTAGAGCCTGATGATGAAGGGATTATCGAAAAGAGTACTCTTTGTTAGTATCCATTCTGTTGAAAAAATTTTAATGGGCCTTTTTAATCAGTTAAAGAAATTACTGTCAAAAGATGAAAAATTTACTGAAGGCTCAGAAAATGTAACCAGTCATGTGTTTAATGTCACATAAACTCCATGATCCAAAGGCAGGAAGTGACTATTTTTGAAAAGAAGTACCGAAGATGGAACTTCAATTAAACATAGAGAAGATAGAGAGGATTAAGAAACCTAACCAAAAACAACAACAACACCAAGCACCGGTAACTACCAAGAGAAGACATTTGAAAAAAATAACCTCCTTTAGTTAGTTAAGCACTGTTGTTTTACCTACAAATGGCACGGATGAAGATGTAAGAGACAGCCAGAATCGAAAAAGCACCACAGAACTTCATTAATATGAAATCAGTGTAAACTTGAAATATAGGAACAAGTTTCAAAATTTCAACACATGTCAAGTCAATACTTTTAAGTTATTCAGAGACTTGGTGCATCATGATTAGCATTTATAACAGCCTACGTCAAACTTTCATAAATAGTTATCTTTCCTAACTTGATGCTGAAAATCAGAGGTCCAGCCAGAAGGGATTAGCAACAAAGAATTCTGACGGAGAATCAACCAAGAGCCTGTTGACCAACAGATATGCAGGAGGAAATGGACTGATCAACTGATGAAGAGACCATTGAGTTACATCACGCGCTAGGCTGTCAAGTGGAACCTGTATGGAAAGTGACGAGTTGGATGTAGGTACGAAGGTGACATGAAGGAGATCATATGGGGAGGAAATGATAGCTTCTTGGCAATCATGTAGTCAGATAAAGAGGAGTGAAGATAACAGGATGATATATATATGAATGTACTGACAATTGTATATCGGTATCGATCAAACCCGAAACGACTATGAGCTGGAAGAAAGGAAAGATGATAATCACTCATCTGCCTTTTGGTGAATAGTTGTCTCTTACTCAATTAAACACGCCTGTTCAAGATCTTATTACCCATTAAATACACTAATCCACCAAATACAAGTTAAAATGAATAAAAGTACGAAAACTTTGCTCAAAAGAATACAAAAATTGATTTATCACGTGTTGCAATTAGAGAAAACAAGGTAAATATGACACTGAAGTTGAACACAGAATCCAAGCGCATGAATATAGCCAACTGCTTCATATACATTTTGTAGAATGAGGCCAACAGATATATACGTTTCTTATTTCACCTCAACTTGTCTAAATAAACCAATAAGGTCACTGGGGAAATTCAAGGACAGTAATGACAAATTAAAAATATTATTAGCTTTGATATATTTATTCATTTTGCCCTGAATATTATCTGCTTTCTCAGTTTAACTGCTTTACAGCTGAATCTATCGTAGCATGATTATATATATATATATATATATATATATATATCTTTATTCTGGACAGTATTTATAGAATGTATAGAATTTCCAGAGGAGTTTATTGCGTGTTATTTTACCTTCATACGATATCTTCAAGTAGAGTATCAATTGACAGTATGTCCTGTGACACAATGGTCTCTGAGCTGAAGTACAAACCATTCCATTATGATAAATCTGCTTTGTCTCCTTTAAGGAATCCACTATATCTAATTGAAAGCCAATTATGAGATGTTCAGAAGTACATTTTGAGACGCAAGGACATAACTTAAGAATAGTTATCTCATGAATTGGAACACGCTGCTGTCGCCGACAATCAGGCCTTTAGTCGAGCTGAGTATGAAGCTGCGAAACAGAAGCTTGTAAACATTTTGAATACACACAAGCGTAAATAGTACCAATAGAGATGGTATCTTGATCGGTTAAAACAAACCAACCGTGAGAAAATATATGCAATGGAGAGATGGAAGTTTTTAGTAGCCCAATTGTTAAGCCTCTTATCTGTGAAACTTGCCCAACTGTCACCATGAGAAACAGGTATGACTTTCTAACATTTTAAAAAAAATTTGAGAGAACAGGGATAATTAGACAGTAATGAGCTCAGCACTGCTACATAAACATATTTTTCAAACACAAAGCATTGAAAATGTAACACTTCCATATAGGCGTCTGTTGGAAACTTGTGTTTACTACCTTTTTTTTCAGTACAATCAGCTTACTCAGCAATCATGTCATCAGTTATCTTTCAGAATTATCAGGAATTATTCTTTCACAGTTAGCTAGTGTACTGTTACTTGACATAAGCGTGTTTTCAACGATTAAAAGCTTTTATACGTCTTTGTTAGACCAGGCTTACAAATGGAAACTAGAATTTTGTGAACAAACTAACTATTTAATTTTAACGAAAGTCAAACAAACTATTGAATGTTTTCAGTTTTAGGCTAAAAAGCAGAGGTGGCATTTTACGATTATCTTCTTTGGGGTAATTAGGTCTTGTAGCGAATTTCAGTTAGCAAAGCCTTGAACTGACATTATGAATATTGTGAGACAGGTGAGATATCACTTACTGAATTTTCTCATTTTTCGAAGAAAATTTTGAAGCATTTTCCCCCTTGTTTATTAAGAATTCGGAACACTACTGTTTCATGTGTGCACGTTATTGCTGATTATCAGTATAGCAAAGATTTTAAAAGCCTAATATCTTCAAATAAGATTTCGTGGTTTGAGTTTCGTGGAATAGATCAAGAGTTAACTAATAGTTTGAGTAGACGGATTCGTATCTGTTAGATGGATTTGTAGAATAGGGCGTAATTTGAGCAACAAAGACAACCTTATAAGTGTGAGATTCTATGGAGAAAATCAGCCAGTTAGTTTTGGTTAATTGGTTGTAGGAGTAAAATAAGGAGAATTCAGTTTTAATCTGTCTCAGGAATGAAAAGCTTCAGCATTACATCACTTTGTTCTATTCTATGGTACCTGTTTTAGCTGATTTCACAACTTTGCGAAGGATTTCATCTCCTTCACGTCACTCCTGGATGTCTAAGTCGTCGTCATCCACTCAGAATCCACTCGAAATCACGGTAAGCGATGATGCTTAATGGTCTCTTCAGAGTATATCCAATCTATCTTTATTTCCTTCGGCATATTTGTTCGGCAACAGGTCCTCAGTTGGTTCGTTCCCAGAGTTCCTCGTTATTTATCCCTTCCGACCTGAAGGATTGATAGTACGGGGTGGCGGGTTCGTTTAACTTGACCAGAACATGACTCTAGGACGTGACATTACAACTAATTACCCATTTGAGATTATTTTCCACAATGAGAGATGGACACGAAAGTCAAACTGGAGAAAACAACAGCCGAAACAACAGCAACAACAACATCGTTTGTTAGAAAAAAATACATAGTATCTTATATTTACAAAACCCTCAGAAATTTAAGTCATAAATAAACAAATCTGATTAATTGTCTGACACTCATATTTTGTAGAAAATTTTGAAAAATAATGTAACTAAAGTATAATAGAGATATTGAATTCAGTCTTTTATAATTGAATAACCGTCATGAAAAAACGTATATCCGGTCTAATTCAGACAATCATCACGGTAATCTCACTTTGTCTCGCTTTCATGCACGCACATGTTTTCAGTTGGTCATCTGTAAAATTAGCAGTTGTGAACTGATAAGTGAATCGGTCAGCTAATTAAATGAAATAATAATAATTATTAATAATAAAAAATGTAACTAGAGTTTCATTAGAAATATATTACATTACATATTTTTTGTTATATTAGGCATAAAATTTGTAACAGTTCATTGGGTTAATTTCTTTCAACTTCCTACACGTCCTTTCGCATATATGTACGTATATATATAGCTCATTTAATTTATTATTAGCTATAAAGTCGGAAATATAAAAATATGTAAAGGAAATAAGAATGTTGATAAGAATATGTTATAAACGATACTTTTATAATCGTTATTAGTCGCTTAAAAAAAACGCCATCTGTCTATATTTTATTGATGTTCAATTGTACAATCTCATTTTTAAGTTTGTTCAGATTCTTACAAGTCGTGAACACTGATATCACTACTCTAAATGGTCCTGTTGAACAAAGATAGAGAAAATTTGTTTATTTTTACGAAAATGAAGAAAAAGTGGCTCAAATCTTTCTTAAATTATACCTTTTTTTTAAAATAATTGTGCAATCAGACTATTATGCGAAAGAATAACAATATAAAAACACTAAGCATTAACGGCATGTATATAAAATATATATAATTTTCGTATTTACATCTTTAAAGTTTATATTTAGAAATGACATGAATTATAGTCATAATGCTGTAACAGTCTGTTTTGTATAATCAATATTACGTGAATTCGTTTTCCCCTGTTTATCTATACGTACAAATAATGATTCACTATCACGAAATGAACTGTCAATATTTTCACTATTTTGCATCATTACTGTATCTTCACCATAACTATGATTGTATAATTCTGAACTTGGTGCACTTAAATTAGGTGATTCAATTGAACCAAGTGAATTAGTTGGCGAAAATGATGATGCATAACGATTAGATATTAATGATGATGGTGGTATTTGTTTCAGTGGATTATTTATCATTGTTTTGCTTGATGGATGATGACTACAACAATTTGAATATTGATTACAGCTTGAATTTTGACCTTGAGCGTATTGATCATTTTTAGTTGGATTTAGTTCAACTGAAGAAGTAATACCTGTTGAGGTAGTCATATTCATTCGTTTAGTCATCGTATTACTCATTATACCTGTGAATATTGTCGTTTCTGTAGAAGTTCTCATTGTCGATGAAGATTTTGTAATGGTAACCGGAGCTTTTTCCTCATCAGTGATAGTAGCACTGTCTTCATCACAATAGACTGAATTAACAAGCAACAAACGATTTGGTATGTTGTCTAACAGTAATGGTGTTGGTGTTGGAAAATCACAATATGATGTATTCGATAAACAGTCGCTTTGTTTTCTGTTTAAATAATTCATAAATAATGTATTCACGTAGGACGATGATTGTTTGTATTCAAGAGATGTTGTAGTTGTAGAAGTTGTAGTGGTCGTGTTAGTAGTAGTTATTGTTGTTGTAGTACTAGTTGGTTTGATATGATCGCTGACAATCGAATTACAGATCACTTGAACAGACTGAGTAATTGATGAAGAACTGCGAGATGGATCATTGAAGAATCGATTATCTACAAGAGAAAATATGTATTGGTTGATAATAAGACACTACATTAATGCTACTTCAGTAGATAATTAATTAATTGGCATTCCTCATGCACAGTGATATAATGAATGATTCAAATTTTTGGATAAGCGGGCAAGTGTACTACTCACTATCATTTGCTAAATGAATTAGGGAATAAAATGATTATCTTTGGAGTGTTGAACTAATATTCAGACATTTTGTATCCAATCAACAATTTCTGCTTTAATTATGTGAAAGTCGAAGGTGTCCAGTATGATGCTTATTTGTTCAACTGTCTATAGGAATGTGTATTATTTTTGCTTCTTCCTAGTGGTGTCACGCATAAACACTACAGAAGACCTTCAATTGACTCCATGAACTCATGGAAAGCGTCTGAGGATGATAAGGAAAGGAAATAAAGGCTTGTGTGTAATGATGACAGAGAATATAGTACAGTAGACACTGCTGAAGCATTTTGCTTTACTCGGAACGTAGGAAATGAATGATAATAATAACTGTAGCAGACATACTATTGCCTGGAAATATGCAGTCAAGTTTATCGAATGTGAGTCAAACATTTGGATTAAATTATGAATGGCCTTAACATTCAAGTTATTTTTAGGTATTTGTGATGTTATCATCGACGAAGTTAGCTAACTGCTGAATAGTTATCGGACATTCATATTATTAGACAGTTGGAGACAATCGGCAGGAAGTCTTGATGTTAGGTTTCGTTCTTGTTGGCACTAACGAGTCAGCAAGGTGTATTTGCGATCCTAAAGGAAGTCATATCCCTTCTGAGATTTGAGCCCTGGTCACCAATGAGCTATTCGGACTGGCAGTTGGTCTCCTTTAGGACTATAATGGATACTTTGAATGGACACCAGCTAGTAATTAATATCATGTATCTAGTCCTTGGCGCCGGTGTAGAATAGATTCTATCAGTCACGTTTGCAATGTGGCCATCAGTCTAAGTAGACCTCATCCTCTATCACATTCAAACCATTGTGAGTAAGCCTGCATGTCTAAATGACAGGAAGCATTATCATGCAAATTATTCTTGTACAATGGATTCTACATGCTGCTAAAAAGAGTACTTACTAGGACAATGAGCCATCTATATCAGAATCTGTGAAAAAGGCATATTTATCAAGTTATAATTTTTATTCATAAAATGCATGCAAATATTTATGCAGTTAACGTGTAAGAAGAAAATTAACTGACTGTGCTAAGAAATGAAATAGCCTTTCATCACTGATTAATCTTAATATCGAAAGAGAATATGTACTGTAGGTGAATGAGAATATGTTTCATTTTTTTCACTCCAGAGTTTCGCCTTACAGAATGTTACATTTAGGAATCAATAGCAGCTTAAATCTTATAAAAATATTACAAAAATTAAATGAAGAGGCTTTAAGGGATACCTTACTCGTAAGATGATTTTTAAAGCTTCTTTTGTAAATTCATTAGATATCACTTTGGGTAAAATAGTGTTAAGAAATGATAAGTGAAATTGAAACAACTGATCCCTTTATAAGTTTGCATGGTGTAATTAAAAGACAGAGATTACGTGAAAAAATATGATCTGCACAGCAATACATATCAAACAGTCTCATTATTACACATATTTACTTGTCAGACCAATTTATTTGCAAAATAAAGGCCAATCAAAATGGACGAAGTGATAAGGAATTTAAGAATATGAATAATAAGGATAGATAACACTACTTTTCGTAATAACATTATTATTCCCTTGGGTTTCGAGTGGAACATAGGGCTTCAACAACACATCTTCACTTCCTTCTACTCTTTACTGTCCTCTTCAGCTGGGTTTACGATTACCCATGATCTCTTGTCTCCTCCATGTCACTCTCTAACCGACGACCCACTCGTTGCTTCCCATGCGCCTTCCACTTGAGCAATGGCCTGCATTTTACGCGACGTCATTCGACGGCCTCCTCAATATATTCCCAATCCATCTCCACTTTCTCCTACATATATGATGAGAAATCGCTTCTTGGTTGGTTTGTTCCCAGCTAGAGTTTCTTGTTGCTAATTCTTTCTGGTCGGCTGGCTATTTGATCTTCAATATGGAACCAGAGAAGTCACCCGTTGATGAAAGTTTGTAACTTGTTAGAAATCCTTTAGGTGACGCACTGGCCGAGTTTCTGACCCATAGAGAACAGTTGACTGACTTCACATTTGTGTTGGAAATCCGAATCTTGTTCTTTATGCTGAGAGCAGTGCAGAAGATTTCCAAACTGGTTTCAGGTTGATGAAGGCGTATCTTACCTTTCCGATGCGACTAGCTTTGACTTTGGTAATATAATCCAATAAGAATTGCCAAGGTAGTTTAAGAGTAATAATAAATTGTGTTTGTACACACGTGTGTGTCGAAGGCTCAAGTTTTTGGACAGCTATCACCACTTCATATTTCAGTAAGCGCCCTTGATTGCTGTTGTAAATAATCGTAAAAGCCGTCTTGATGTCAATCTTGTAATTCGTATCAATTGTGTTTAACTAAAGACGGAGTTGGTAGTCTGCCACATGAGTATAAGGAAGTTTTGCAGTTCATCTGTTTTTCTAGCCACCCCCTGAGAAGCGCGATTACCCCTCCGTACGTATCGGCGACGAAACAAGCATGTCAAATGGTATATAGCACGGGATGCGACATAATCACTTATCCAGTGTTGAGGCTTATAGGGATGTATGTTTGTGGCTTTTTCAGTAATTACAAACTGTGCTGAAAAGTAGGCTTTACGGACTGCCGACTTTACTCACTGACTTAAAATCTTTCTATTTATTTCCCCAGTGTATAGCAATTTGATGAAAACACCTTTCTTATGGCCGGAACAGACTGTAGGTTTTGAAACTAACCGACTTCTAAACAGGTTAAAAATCTCAAAAGATATCCGTTTTCGACAAAGGTATTCAATAAAACTTTGTTTTCATTGTCTATAGCATCAGCTATAAAAAACACTGAAACCGTTTAGATAAGCATTTCACAAAGTCTCTCAAATATTGTATGAACAGAAGCTTTAAATATTTAAATAATGTCCTGCTCAAGTAGGCTTTCCATAAGTCTATCGCTTTATTGAACCATTTTCTCTCCAACTCAGAGGTATACTTAGAAATGTAAGAAATGTAATGCAGCTTTCTTCTGCACATGTAAGATTTATGTGAATTTGTATAGAATTGAGTCTATTCAGTAGACAGCATGTATCTTCATGATTGCTACATATCAAAATAATATCATCAACGAATCTCCTTTGAAAACAACACTTCATGATGAAATCCTAGAACCAATCAACCAAATCCCTACAAACCAATATTTGAATACCAATGAGATGCACACTGGCGACGGGCCCTATTCAGGTAGGTAGTTACTTGTGGTTCCAGTGGGAAGTCGTGACCAGTAGGGTGCAGTAGGTCGGGTGTGAGGACAAATACTCGCCGAAGACATTGGCTAACGGTTGCGGTATGTCGTGAATTGGTGGATGTTAAATTCATAGGCCATTGGATCGGGTCACAGTGGCTTAGTGGCATGCAAGCCCGCCTTGTAACCAGAAGGTCCTGGATTCGAATCCCGGTGGGTATGCACTGATGAAGAGTCCCAACCTATGGCGAAACAGCTGTCCAGTACTCCCAGCTGGTTTTCCAATGGTTCTCTAACCAATGTCAGCTCATGATGAAATCCTGTAACCAATCTAATCCCTACAAACCAATACTTGAATACTTTAACAATCTATTCAAAGGAGAGGTTTTCAATGTAAGAAATATAAATATGTATTATGTAAGTTTACTATTATTATTGTTCTCCTCATCCACATTCTATCATCACTCTGCTACTGTTTATTAATAACATTGTGTTTTCATCCTGATTTTATAAAAACACTTTATGCTCTCTCCACTAGTTCTTGTCCACTCTACACAATTATACTGATTAGCCATTCTGTCACATTTCTGCCCCCCTTCTAATCTCCAATTAGTCACTTCTTCTAGATTACACCCTATATTACGTAATACTTTTTCAAGAACACATTTCACCGATATGTGATTGGTTTTATGAATTCTTCGTTAAATATAATTACGATTGCACAACAGCTTATGAAAGTGAATCCTCGAAAAGAAAGTTTTCTTTGCTGTTTAGGTCTTTTTCTTATAACTCAATATCTCGTTCATTGATACAATTAGAATTAATGGATTATCAACGCTATGAATCTAAGGTAGCCCATAAAGGTGTGGAAGGTGAAATCCCACATGCTTCAGAGAGTTAAACTCTTCTTTGTCAATAACTAACATTCATTCTACGAAGTTTGACTAAATGAACTCTCACTTTTTCTTCCAATTTTCTGATATAACCTTGACGATTCTTATCTGATTATATTACCATGCATAGTGTCGGTGGTACAGCGGTTAGTTCGCTCGCCGACCGTGCACATGATCCAGGGTTCGATCCCCGGCTGACGCACACCTAGTGTCAGTGTGCGGCCTGCAAAATTTGGGCTACCAATATCACATACTTGTATCAAAAATACTGTATGAAGTTAAGCTATAATAAAAAAAGAATATAATAACCATTATTCTTAAATTCGTTATCACTTTGTTCATTTTATTATTATATCCTTTAATTCCTAGAGGAACATAGGGCTTCAGCTGCGCATCTCCATCGCCTTCTGTTTCTGCCAACTTTTTCACCCCACTCCAAGTCTGCCCACCTACTTCCATTTCCTCTTCACATCACCTCCTCCAAGTCACCCTTGCACTGACGACCAACTCGCCGATTCCCTTTCGGGTTCCACTCGAGCAATGGCTTGTCTAGTGATTTCACTTGATGGTTTGTTTTCTCAGAGTATGGCCAGCCAACCCATCTCCATTTCTTCCTGCCTATTTGTTTCACAATCGGTTCCTGCTGGGTTGGTTCACTCATTGCAAGAGATCTCTGTTGCTGATCTATTCTGGCTGGCCATCTGATCTTGAGCACTGAGCGAAGACGACTGTTGA